TCTCCTTGTCTGATTCCAAAACTCAAACTCTTCCCATACACTATTACACTACACTCTTCCTTTCTGCCTTCTCTCTCAACTCTGAGACACTCCCTTGAGATGACCAACTAAAATTATCTGGTTACAATTAATGGACTTGAGAAGGAGGAGGAGGACCTACAATAATCTCCAATAAAGGGAGCATTACTTTATTCAACAAATATTTTACTGAGTGCCCATTACATGATAACTCTGCATGATAACAAAGATGGCATTATTTACGTTATGCAAAAATTTCATGCCCTAAAGGGGCATGTGTGAAGGAACATGTCTTTCAGCACAATGATCTATCTCAGAGATTGGCAAACTTTTTCTATAAAGAGCCACACAGTAATAAGTTTTAGCAGCCCACGTAGTCTATCTCAGCTACTCTACTGTTCTAGTGTGAAAACTACCACAGACAATATATTTGAATGAGTGCAGTGATGTTCCAATTTATTTCTGGACAACAAATTTAAATTTCTTATGATTTTCACATGTCATGAGGTTTTCTTCAACCATTTAAAATGTAAAGACCATCTTATTTGACAAGTCATACAAAAACAGGCAGTGAAACTGATTTTTTACAAATATGTAGCAGTAATCCAATGGTGGAAGAAAAGTCTTCAATGAAGGTGCTGGAACAACCGGAAACATGAACCTCAACCTAAACACCTCACACCTTACACAAATAACTCAAACGAATCACAGATTCAAATGTAAAAGTTACCATTATAATACTTTTTAGGAAAAAAAATAAATGAAAATCTTTGGGACCTAGGCCTTGAGACCTTAGATTTGACACCAAAAGCATGATCCATAAAAGAAAAAAATAATTAGACCTCAACAAAATTTACAACTTTTGCTCTGTGAAAGACCGTGTTAAAAGGAGGGAAACACAAGCAACAAAAGTGGGAGGAAATATTTGCAAACAATATATCTGACAAAGGACCCATACCTGTAATATACAAAGAATTCTCAAAAGTCAATAGTAAAAAAAAAAAAAAAGCAAACAATTCAATTAGAAAATGGGCAAAAGACATAAAGAGACATTTTACTGACGAAGATATATGGCCAGCAAATGATAACCAAAAAAAGATGTTAAATATCACTAGCCACTAGGGAAATGCAACTTAAGTCCATGACGAGGTAATACTTATTACACATCTATTAGGACAGATAAAATAAAAATAGTAACAATACCAGATACTGGCAAGGATGTGGAGAAAATGGAAATCTTCATACATTGCTGGTGGGAATGTAAAATTGTACAGACATTTGAGAAAACAGTTTGGTTATAACTTAAAAAAACAAAAAAACACCTAAACATACATTTTTATGACCCAGCAATTGCATTCCCAGAGAAATAAATGAAAATTTACATCCACACAAAGACCTGAACATGAATGTTCATAGAAGCTTTATTCTAATAGCCAAACTGGAAACAGCCAAAACATTATTCAGGTGAATGGTTAAACTGGTATATCTATACCATAGAATACTACTCAGCAATGAAAAGGAGTGAGCTATTAATACATACAACTTGAATGGATCTCAAGGACATCATGCTGAGTGAAAAAAAGCCTCAAAAGATCACATATTGTATTACTCCATTTACAACATTCTCAAAATGATATAGAGTTATAGAACAGATTAGTGGTTGTTAGAGGTTAGGGAAGGTGGGGAGACAGAGTTGGTACCTAAGACTTTCAAGAGATTAGCAAAAGGGGGGATCTTTGCGGTGATGGAATAGTTGTGGATCTTGATTGCAGTGGTGGTTAAACTAATCTACAGGTGATAAAATGGCACAGAATTATACACACACCATTGTACCAATGTCAATTTCCTGGTGTGGATATCATACAATAATTATGTAAGATATAACCATTGGGAAAAACTAATGAAGGGTAAAAACTTCTCTGCACTATTTTTGCAATTTCCTGTGAATATATAATTATCTCAAAATAAAAAGTTAAAATAGTTTCTGAAAATCTTAAGGGTAAGAGAGGGAAGACATAACTCTGTAAATAACAAGGGTCTAGCCACTCTCCTTATTAATCTTAAGAGTTGTTTCAAGGACAGAGTTTGATAAAATAACAAAAGGTCGTTTTAAAAGCACCTAATATCAGCCACCGTTTTAAGTACTTTCCACATATTGCCCCATTTAATCTACATAATAATCTTGTAAAAAAGATACTAGAACCCCATTGTACAGACAGGAAACTGAAGCTGAAAGAGGTTATTTGCCCATGATCAAACAGTAAGCAGTAGAGCCACAAGTTAAACTTAGACTGACTCCAGAGGCATGCCTCCTGCACACCACTGTAACAAGCATAAAGATGTTCAGCAAAAAAAGTAAAGATGTCCACCAAAATGTGTGCAAAAGCCTGGATTAAACAAAGTTAAGCCAGTTTGTTTTCTGTAGGGTTCTCAGAACTTTTAAAATGCCAGTATATGTCATATATCTAGAAGGCTACAGTATACAGTTTTCCCCTCCATGTATAAGGCCAGGGAGCCCTTTTCCTGCAGAATACATACTCCAACAGTCCCTCACTCAGAAGTTAAAATGTTTAAACTAGACTTATTATGGTGATCCTTCCACAATACATACAAAAATCGAATCATTATGTTGTATACCTGAAACTAATATAACATTGTATGTCTACTGTATTTCAATTAACAACAACAAAAAAAAGGTAAGATGTTGAAATTACTCCACTTTTTCACACATTGGCAAACTGCAAATGCTTCAAGCTGCGCTGTCCAATATGGTAGCCACTAGCCAAAAGAAACTATTATGAACTAAATAAAATTAAAAATTCAGTTCCTCAGGGGCGCCTGGGTGGCTCAGTTGGTTAAGCGACTGCCTTCGGCTCAGGTCATGATCCCAGGGTCCTGGGATCGAGCCCCACATCGGGCTCCCTGCTCGGCGGGGAGCCTGCTTCTCCCTCTCCCACTCCCCCTGCTAGTGTTCCCTCTCTCTCTGTCTCTGTCAATTAAATAAATAAAATCTCTAAAAAAAAAATTTCATTAAAAAAAAAAATTCAGTTCCTCAATTATACCAGCCACATTTAAGTCTTCAAGACTTATTTCAAGGGCCACATATGACTAATGCTACCATATTGGACAGTACAGATATAGAACATATCCATCACTGGAGAAAGTTCTGTCAGACAGCACTGAGTTAAAGGTTTGTTTTTGTTTGTTTTTTAAAGAACACGGGGCCTGTGGAATCCTCAGAGAAGCACACTATATTATACATGTAATTGCCACTATCCCACCATAAAAAGGGGCTAGGTCAGAAATTTTTGATGGAGCTGGCTACTGCCATTCTAATGCCAAGGCATGGGGAAGGGGTAAGCAAAGAAGGGGAAAAAGGAAATACCATAAAAAAAGAAAGGAACAACAAGCCGCTGGGGGAGGATGCTTGAACTGGGATTCAAGATCTGGGTTCTACTCCCTATTACACCAATTATTCATTAAAATAATTTTTTTTTAATGTTTGTACTTGGTACTAATTAACTGGGACTTTGTTAGACAAGTCTCTTCACTACTTTGGGCCTGGGTTTCCTCTTGCACAATATAAATTTGAATTGGTTGATCTCTAAGATTCCCTCTACCTCTGTATGGTTAAAACACACACAAGAAATGAGATGAGAAATAAAAGACAGCAAGATCACTGCATACTGGTGGTGGAAACTGGCAGTCCTGTCAGATTGGCACAAGTTTTATTCTTCAAAATAACATCTGGACACCACCAAAGGAAGAAAAATTTCATTCAATAAATATTTATTGAGCAATTATTTGCAACAAACTGCACTATTTGGATGTGGCACCACAAAAAAACTGACTTAAGTCAAGACCAAGTATATGGAAGGAATCCAAAACACACACAACTTTAGATTGAAAGACCTTGTTCATAAACATGTAATAAGCCAGCTGGCCCAATACTAAGAAATACTAAGATACTTATATCTTAAAATCTTCTTGAGGAAATACAACAAATTATATAAAATCATATAAAAATCCATGGTATAATAAAAATTCCTACCCCCCCCCTTTCTACAGAGAATACAAATGCTACACGTACTTGGGAACAGGAAGATACCAATTTTGGTAAACCTAATTTCTCTAGATCCCACATTTAATTGGTTAGTCCTGTATTTTCTGGGTTCAATATTCTTGACTTTAGTGAGGGTTATTGGAATTAAATAAATTATCAATTTTTTTGTGTGTGCCAGAAAGAATAAACTGTAACTGGAATTCTTGCTTCTAACTATTCACTACTGCACATTTCCCACTTTTCACAGGCACGGTTAGTCCTATTTCCTAGGATCAAAAGGGACAGAACACCTTCCCCAACCCTCTTCCCAGAATTAAGATTTAATATAAAAATTAAAAAAGATTTCACCTCCGGATAAAAAAAGAACCACTACAAACTACGTCTGCTATTTTACCTTGCAAAAGCTAAAGCAACCTGTGAGTCGAGTAACCTCTATAAGAATTCAAACTCATTAAAGCCCCACACCATACCCGTGAATATTTTGGAGCCTAGGAGAGTGAATATTAAAGATTTCCACCAAAGACAACAAGAAGAAACGATTTAAGCGAGAAGTCTTTACTTCAGAAAAGCAGTTTCTTTAATACCCCAGCTACTGATCCCACGCCGAGGACCGCGCGGCGCGGAAACCCTGGCGAATTTGAAAACAAACGTTGGTAAATGCTCGGGGTGAAGGGCGGGGGCGGGGAGGGGGGAGCCTGGTAAGGGGGTTAGTAACTGACAGCTCGGCCTCGAAACAAGAAGCCTCAAGTAGGTCAGGCTGTGTCAACGGTTTGAAATCCAGAGTCCACCCCAGTGGGCTTAAGGGAGTAGAGCAGCAGGAGGTAAGTAAGGGTTTGGCGTCTTTCAGTGCTAAAGGGGCGGGATATCAGAACTGAGAGAGACCTAGAGCCCAAGCTCGGGGCAGTTCGCCTGCTCTCACCTCTCTTGGGGGCCTTGATCAGAGGCACCCCTCCAGTCCTCTCGCCGTTTTCCTGCTTGTCCTTGTGCTTGAAATCGCCCGGAACGCAGGAGCTGGGGTCACCATCGGAGCCGCGGTGGTGATGGTGCTTGTGCCGCTCCTTGTGGCCCTTATGCTTGGGCCCGGCCGCGCTCACCGTCAGGGGAGAGAAGGTGAAGAGGGCCGAGGTGCCTGGGGCCGGGAGCGGGGCAGCGACAGCGGGCCCGGCGGGTGCCAGCGAAGGTGGCGGCGGAGGCGGCAGGAGCAGAGGCTCAACAGGGCCTGGGACGGTTGGGGCTGCATTCGTTGGCGGCAGCGGCCCGGGATGTTGGCGGCTGCGACGCCGCCGGTGAGGGGGAGCGAGAGGGGGGTCCTGGCTCGGCCGCCCCCGCTTCTCCTGAGACCCCCCACTGCTCGCTCGGCGCTGCCGCTTCACTCCCCGCGGCGAGACCCCAGCATGGGGTTTCTCCTTCCCTTCTTTGTCCGGCTCCTCCTGCGCCGCCACCGCCCGTACTACGCGCACCGCTCCGACCTGCGCAGCCATTTCACCCACAAACACACATTTAAATGGCCCGACCGCCCCCCCGTCCGCGTAGCGCGCAAGCGCCGCCCGCGCACGGCCCGCTGGGCATTGGAGTCTCTCCCCCGCCCTCCACTTCGCGGCTGTTGTTCCTCCGGAGCTGAACATGCCGGAAGCGGCAGTTCCCAGCGCTTCTCCGCAGGCCTCTCCGAGCGAGGCCTATTGTAAAGCACCCTGGGCGGCGCAGAGCCTCATGGGAGCGGTAGTTCCCCCGCGCCCCCGCCGCCTCCCTGGCTCTGGGAGTGGAGGAGCGGAAAGAGAGCGTGCGCCGAGTCACGCTTCGGGCTGCGACGCAACGGCAGCTGGGCGGAGAGTTGCCGCCAACCGCCTTAACGGCTGAAACAATGTTAGTAGCTTTCAGAGTCTGTCGGCGCGTTCCCATTATCCATGTTCTTGTGCCCCTTCGTTATTTTACACGGAGTAGGTGGTCTCCATAGGTACTTTTAAATTTCATAGTCCTCTCATAACCTTTGTGAGGTAAAAGAATCTGCGGCCTTTTATCTTTGGACAGGCGATGAAATGAAGAGGAAAGGGGAACTTGATCATATGTAAAATGAGGGCGATTTGGGTTTAGAATCGAGTGGGGCCGCAGTGAAGACATTTTTTAACCTCTTGGTGGGCATTGCTATGGTTACAGCTACAGGCGTAACAAGGCAGGTGCAAGACCTGCCTGGGAGCCTGGTGCGCGCCGCCCCACCTCGCCTTCCAGCCACATCCCCTCTAATGCCTAGAAAGGTAGAGGGCCGTTTATTTTGAATCCATCCCCACAGTGACGAAAAATTTCTAGACGGAAAACCATGTTTTTAAACTTTTTTAAATGAGATTTTTTTTTTCAAGTCGCAAGTATAAGGTTGCATAAATTTGAGAAGCGTGTCTACCACAGAACATTCCAAAAATCGTCACTGTTCACCAAGGTTGCTGCCCGGAAATTCATTCACAATTCCATCGGCAAGATCTTAGATTTTACCTAAGATTCTGTTCATATATTTGGCCCTTGATAAAGATCTTTGGGAATAATTGGTTACAGTGAAGTACTCAGAAATACCACTAATGCCTGGAGAAGTATTCAGCTAAATGAACACTACAGTAAAGTTAGTTTTTAAAAACAAAGTTTATTCGGCACCCATTGTGTACATTGTACTACAATAAACAGGTTAACATGTCATCCAATTTGCCCTATCAGTAGGCTTCGTAATGAAACAAATGCTGTTTAAGTATTTCATGTTTCTAAAAGTTAAAAATAAACTTTTCTAAGTTTTAAAAAAAACAAATCATTAGAACTCGGGAATCCGCTGTAACAGTAATAACCCACTAATATGTTACATAAAATCAGATTTGAAAACTCAGATTTTCTAAAAATAAGGCAGATCCATATTCGTATAGGAAATTTTTTAAACCTCTGATTGGTTGGATATAAGTTGCACATATTAATGTAGGACCTTTGAAATGAAAAATGCTACCAAAAGATAGCTATTTTGCTGATTACTCTTCTTGACTTGGTAACTGAATAACTTTGGTTAAAACTTATCAGAAATGTAGTTGAACATCTTGTTAGTGGATATATCCAAATAGAGAAATGATTCTCTTTATTTACATATTTTATTCTCTTAAATATAACTTCTCCTTTTCTTACTACTCTAGTTTTTCCACCTTTGGGAAGATGTGCAAGGTATATTCCATTTAGGCAAAAATAATTCCCAGGGAATAGTCATTGTCACAAGCACGTGTCAGATTTTGTGAAACACTTTCTATAGTAAATTCTGGCAATGTAAACATTCATTTGAGATCCAATTCTTAAAAATATTTTGAAGTTTATATTTATGTAGAAAAGTGGAATAAAAATAACTTCCAAAATGAAAAATAAGTCCATTCTAAAACTGTTTCTCATACACTGTTCTCTACAAAGCTCAAGTGACAAACTTATTTCCAGTTTCCAGCCCAATATAAATGAGATGAAAATGTAAAATTTCTGGCACTTATCTGAATATTCTTTTCTAATATTGCTGTTAACACATTACAGTATCTTCATTGTTGAAATTATGAATATGGAAACCTTATTTTAGCTAATAGTATTCTAGTTTTCTTATTTGCAGATGCACTTGCAGCCTATATTCCAAAGTTGTGTTAAATATTCCAAGTTGGTGGTGGTTTCCTTGGTCCCTTGGGTTTTGAAAAACGATTTGCAAAACCTGGGAACAAAAATAAAATTGTATGAAAAGTTTTTTTAGTATAGAAATGAATAGATTTTGGAGTGTATTATAACATATGCAAATACATGGACTTTTTTTCAAAAAGTTAGGCAACATCTTTATTTTAATAATAGATTGTAAAGGCATAGTACTTAAGTTAATGCTTAAGTGATGACGGAATACTAATAACATTTTAATTTTGTAGAACACTTACAAATTTAATAATGGTAATAATTAGATGAAGAACCCTGTTTACAACAACCTTTGGTAATTCAGCATATACAGTTGACCCTTGAACAGCATTTTCTTTAGATTATGTATACGTATGGCAAACAAAATATGTGTTAATCAACTGTTTCTGCTATGGGTAAGACTTCCGGTCAACAGTATGCTATTAAGAGTTAAGTTCTGGGAGGTTTTAAGTTTTGTAGATTGTTGACTACACGGGGAGCAGGGGGGCATCCCTATCCCCCACATTGCTCAAAGGTCAACTGTAATATCCTTTTTTTCCCAGTTTTATTGACATATTATTGACCTATAACATATGTAAGTTTAAGGTATACAACATGATGATTTGATACACATATATATTGTGAAATGATTACCACATTAAGGCTAAATAACACCTCCATCCCCTCATAAGATAACCATTTTTTCGTGGTGATTACATTTATGATTTAAACTTTCACGTATATAATACAGTACTGTTATAATTATCATGCTGTACATTAGGCCCCCAGAACTTATTCATATTACAGCTGGAAGTTTGTACCCTTTGACCAACATCTCTCCATCTCCCCAGCCACTGGCAACCACCATTCTACTCTATATTTCCATGAGTTTGGCTTTTTTAGATTCCGCATATAACTGAACACATACAGTATTTGTCTTTCTCTAGCTTACTTATCTCAGTATAATGCCCACAAGTTTCATCCATGTTGTCTCAAACAACAGGATTTCCTTCTTTTTTATGGCTGAATAATATTCATATATATGTATATATATATAAAATGTATATATACATATTTTCTTTATCCATTCATCTGTCAGGTGGAGACTTAAGTTGTTTCCATGTCTTGTCTAATGTAAATAATAGTTCAATGAACATGGGGTGCAGATATCTCTTCTGAGGTAATGATTTCATTTCCTTTGGATATATACCAGAAGTAGGACTGCTGGATCATGTGATAGTTCTATTTTTTTGTGTTTTGAGGAACTTCCATACTGTTTTCCATAATGGCTATACCAATTTACATGCACACCAGCATTATACAAGGGTTCTCCTTTCTCCACAGTCTAGCTAATACTTGTCTGTTGTCTTTTTGATAATGGCTGTTCTGACAGGTGTGAGGTGATATCTCACTGTGGTTTTGATTTGCATTTCCCTGATTAGTGATATCAAGCATCTTTTCACATACCTGTTGGCCATGCATATGTCTTTTTCAGAAAAATGTCTATTCAAGTCCTTTGCCCATTTCTTAATTGAACTGTTTGGTTTTTATTTTTATTATTATTTTTTTAAATTTATTTATTTGTCAGAGAGAGAGAGCACGAGAGCACAGCAGAGGAAGCGGCAGGCAGAGGGAAACTCAGGCTCCCTGCTGAGCAAGGAGCCCGATGTGGGGCTCCGTTCCAGGACCCTGAGATCATGACCTAAGCCGAAGCAGATGCTTAACCAGACTGAGCCACCCAGGCATCCTGAATTGTTTGGTTTTTAAAGTAATATCCTACGTCTGCATCTTTTCACCCACCACACACTTATAAAAAAAAAAAAAAAAACTAGGAAATTTCAATTTCAGAAAAATAAGCACTATTGCTTTACAAAATTATTGTATTAAACTCAGTTATATTTCTACTTCAGCCCAGAAAGCACTCGATTTACTAAGACATTCTGTTTGAAAAGCTTAGAAAAATAAACTAATAAACAATCCTGAAAAACTAAGTAATCACTTTTACTTATCTGTCTCCTTCAAACACTCCCCTCTGCCCCCCCTCTCACCACAAAAGGAGGAAAACAAGGAAATTTTGCACAACCAATGAAAACTATTTCTGGGTCCTTTCAAAAAGATTTGCAGGTTGATAACATTGTCTATCACTTCAACATAGGACTTTTCTTTGATGATGGCATATTTTCTTTCTTTTTAAGATTTTATTTATTTATTTGACACAGAGAGAGACAGCGAGAGAGGGAACAAAGGCAGGGGGAGTGGGAGAGGGAGAAGCAGGCTTCCCGCCGAGCAGGGAACCCGATGCGGGGCTCGATGCGGGGCTCGATGCGGGGCTCGATGCGGGGCTCGATGCGGGGCTCGATCCCAGGACCCTGAGATCATGACCTGAGCCAAAGGCAGTCACTTAACCAACTGAGCCACGCAGGCGCCCCATGATGATGGCATATTTTCAAGGTACTGTGGCACAGCAACTTTAGGCGCTCAAATTGAACAATGAAAGCTTTGAACAGAACTGATGAAAAGATCAGATGAGATACTTGTTAAAGCATCCAGCACAAAGCCTGGCACATCGTAAGTACTTAAGTGTTTCTTCAATCAGAACCACAAAAACACTATACCAGAACTAGAAGAAAAGGAGAGTATGGAAGAGGCGAAGAAAAGAATATAAAAACAAGAACCCTACTAATATTAAACTTAATAATAGAACCACTAAATTCTACACCTGAAACTAATATTACATTGTATGTTAATTAACTGGAATTTAAATAAAAACTTAAATACCAGAAAAAAATTTTAATAATAGTGATGATAAAAAAAATTGGGGGGGGAGAAGCACACAGTCAAGTTCATGTACATTTTACTCCTTTGAGTGATAAAAAAGAAAAAAGAAGGAAAAATATTTCAGGTTAAATAGTTTCATACACATAGTCACAAACTCATCTATTCAGTCCGGATATTTTGATTATATCCCAAGTGGACTGAGAATAGAAGTAGGAATATAATATACAAGCACTAAGTATCTGAAATTTAAGAAATACCTACAGTCAGTTTTTTTCACTCATCAATTCTGATAGTTTAGAACAATAGTGAGCTACCTTTTTTTGCATGTAGGCCAATTCAGGAAAAATAAAAATGTTTATAAACCACAAAATTGGGCGCCTGGGTGGCTCAGTCGTTAAGCGTCTGCCTTCAGCTCAGGTCATGATCCCAGGGTCCTGGGATCGAGTCCCACATCAGGCTCCCTGCTCAGCGGGAAGCCTGCTTCTCCCTCTCCCACTCCCCCTGCTTGTGTTCCTGCTCTCACTGTCTCTCTCTGTCAAATAAATAAATAAAATCTTTAAAAAATAAATAAATAAATAAAAACCACAAAATTTTTTAATTTAATTTAATTTTAAATTCACATTTAGATACCTTTTTTAAGTAAAATAGAACTGCAATTTATATCGCTTCCTTTCTAAAAAAGAGCCAATGAAAGAGTTGTGCTTTTTAAGTAAGTAAATATTCAAATCTAAGCATATCTGAGAAGAAATAATATGGAGGAAGCTCTCTAATATTTTATCTTCATATTAGATCACAGACTGTTGTAAACTTAGATGGGTCATGAATTACTCAAGTGGCCTCACGGATTAAGAGAAAAGGAAGCAAGGGAACATTTGTGTTCAGGCAAAGTTTGGTGCTTTTTTCATAGGTTATATAATAATCTATATGAATTTTTAACTAAATGATTTCATAAGAATAATAACTTCTTTTTTCCTAACATTTTAAACCTTAGAGTTAATGTAATCCAAATAGAATTTTACAGCCCAAGAAACATATCTAGAGATTCTAGTTAAATATTTGGCCAAAGTGGAATGAATAGAGACCATAATCCAGGTGTGGCAGAGATTGCTACCTTTCCACCAAAATCTTTCCTTCCTTCTTCAGGAATAGAATTGTATCTCAGCAACTGCCTCCCCAGCATTATTACATTGCCCAGTCACTCTTGCAATTTAGATGCAGCACATGTCCAAATTCCCTTCAAGGGAATGTGAGTTGACATGATGTTGCCACTTCCAGGCCAGTCAGTATCTTAAGACCAGAAGAGAAGGCCACACCTCTTACACATTTTCCTCTCTTCTTGCCACCTGCCCTCTGGATGTGGCAGCAACCCAGTTCTAACCATACAGACAAGGACGATACATACCACAGAGCAGCAGTTCTCAAGGTCTTGTCCTAGGGAATCCTAGGGGGCTCCCAGACCATTTCAGGGGTTCAGCTTTTTAGGTAATTATAATTTTTAGTAATAATAGCCTGTATTAATTACTATGCTTCTTACAGAAATTTGTAGTATATGTGATACTATCTTAAAGAGTATCATGAATTTATGTCATATAGAATAATAGGATGCTTAAAATAATATGAAATTATTTTAAGTTTATAGTTGGGGCAGTGGGGCAAACAATTCCTTTAAACTGTCAGAATTGTGCTTCAGCTCCTATGTAGAATGAGCAATATAAGATTAGATAGCAACTGTTGTTCTTATTATCATACTTGTGTATTTTTTATAACTTTGATTAGCTATGAACTGGAGTATCATAGCATCTCAGAATTTCTTCATTTGGCTTTGGCTAGTCACATTCATTTAATACATGCCAACGGAGTCATTTGGTTGCCTAGCTTCATTTTCTGCTATGCCAGGCATTTCAGTCCTAGGTAAGATGTTCAGAGGTAGCTAAGGTCAAAAATGAAAAGATAAATCGGGCGCCTGGGTGGCTCAGTCATTAAGCGTGTTCCTTCGGCTCGGGCCATGGTCCCAGGGTCCTGGGATTGAGTCCCACATCGGGCTCCCTGCTCGGCAGGAAGCCTGCTTCTCCCTCTCCCACTCCCCCCAGCTTGTGTTCCCTCTCTCGCTGTGTCTCTCTCTGTCAAATAAATAAATAAAATCTTTAAAAAAAAAAAGAAAAGATAAGTTGCATGGAAAGAATATAAATATAACAACCTATACATCAACTTTGAATCATACTTAAAGTTGTATCATACTATAAGATAAACATTTTTTTAAAACTCTGTTGGAAAATAACACACATACCAAAATTCAGAAAGGAGCTGGAGCAATTTGACTGAACGGCGTCTGCAGGCTTGTTTGGGGAAGAATTACAGATACCTAGAATCAAAAGAAAAAAATGTAAGGGAAAAAATGAAGACAGACTCTGACTACTGTTTATCAGACCACATAATTTTGAAATTAAATATTTCCTCCAAAGTAATACTCCCAAATAAACATATTATTATAAAATATAACAAAATATAGATGCTTATAAATGGGTTAACATATAATCTTCTCATTTTTGTGTGGGTATTTTTTTAAAGGGTTTTTTTTTTCCTTTGGAAACATTGTCCAGTAAAGCCCAACACTAAAGAGAATCACCAGGGTATTCAGAAATAACATCCATTACATTGTGAATCAGCTTCTTGGGGGATTCATATTGTGGTTTTTTATTTCATTTTACTTTGCACTCTGATCACTTTTTTTTTTTAAGAAATAAAGAACGCACCCACACAGGGGCCTGGGGGAGGGGGAGGGGCAGAAGGAGAGAGAAAATCCTAAGCAAGCTCCACCCTGGATCTCTCCGCCCTGAGCCGAAATCAAGAGGCAGATGCCTAACCAGCTCAACCACCCAGGCACCCCTGCACTCTGATCACTCTTAACACGTTTTTTTTATTAAGATTATTTATTTATTTATTTATTTATTTGTCAGAGAGGGAGAGTGAGAGAGCACAACAGGCAGAGGGAGAAACAGCCTCCCTGCCGAGGAAGGAGCCCAATGTGGGACTCGATCCCAGGACCCATGACCTGGGCTAAAGACAGATGCTTAACCTACTGAGCCACCCCGGCATCCCTCTTAACATGTTTTTAATTAATTTGTTTTCCATATGAGTTCATCCATGGCACATCTATGGTTTTTCTTACAAGTATCCTTTACTCCTGAATATCTTTCTTCACTTTCCAACCTATCTTTTCCGCATTATAGACGATTCTAGTTAGGCCCAGAATCTCCCAAAAGCATTATTATATTGCTTTGTTTTGCTATTTTAACTACTTACAGGTAGGTTTAAAAATATGTTTCTCTTCCCAGCACTTTAATATATTCATGTAACAATTTCTGCCCAATTTTAAAAACAATCCAGTGAAAACATCATCCACATTTTGCATGTGCACTACCTAGCAGTGAAAGAAGATAATTTCACGTTTGTATAAACCTTCTATAAGATTTTGTGTAAAAACAGCATATGATTAGGGAGAAATTATTAAACATTCACCTTTTTTAGGTATTCAACATTTTGAGTGTACAGCATGAGGACTGCATCTATGTTTGTAAATACATGGCCTAATGTTAGGATTCAAAAAAACCCTCCCTCTTCATGGAGGTACTTGAGTATGAATCACTAGAGTACATAGTGAATTTCAATCACTATGGGAGATTGAGGGAGATTGAATTACAATACATATTTATTGAATGCCTATTATGTGCCAAGCATTGAGCTAGGCACTTAGGATGCAGACATGAATAAGAAGTGAGTGAAGGTGAGAAAGTTCAGGACATATCCATCATCATTAAACTGCATATGAGCTGAGAGTTGTATACATCCTTCAGAAAGAAAACATTGTGCCCAAAGGGAATGTTGGATTTGTTTTGTTTTGTTTTTTATCACAGGGGACAAAGATTCTGCAAATATATATCAAAGGGAACTGCTATTTTGCATATTGGCTTATCACAGTTTGGTTTGCTTTTTTTTTCAAAATGGCAGTGCCGTATGGTTGAACTGAATATACTTGTAAGTACCTGGTTTTGTTAAGTTATTACATAAACAAGACTGATTATCCTATAATTTACTTTTCTCACTTAATGAAATATCTTGGTTTTTTTCCTATGGCAGCTCCAGTAGAACTATATTATGTCATAGATATTTTTATGCTGCCTGCCCAGCATTATTAATTCCTCCTTCTGATAACAGAACTTGAGTTTTCCTTTAGGAAACCACCCCTCCCCAATTTTCAGCTCCCATACTTCTGGTGAAGTTGATTCTACCCTTAGATCAAGGAACTGACCTATGACTGGGGCTAATTTTCAGTTGGTACATTGCCATGGTCATACCAGTTGTTTAGGTCTGACCTCATTTCTTAGTGGTCAGTGTCCATGTGTAACAACTGTTAAATATTTTAATAATAGTTAACAGTATGACAGTATGACACTGCTCTGCTTAATCATATGAATATACTGGCAATAACTGGTTCAAGGATGAGCAAATGAACCAAACCAAGACAGTCAGGCCCAATCAGCCCTAGTCATCAGACTGTTGCTTGAGCAACCAGGAAGGAGCTCATTTTTTTCCATCACAAGCCTGAATCAGGCATCATGGTCGATAGCTTTAATTCTTGTCACCCTATAATTCACTCTCCACACTGCAGCCGGAGGGGTCTTTTTAAAAAACAGACATGTAACATCTCTGCCTAAAGCTCTTCAATGACTGACTTCCCACTGCACTTAGAATAAACTCTAAACTACTTAACATGACCCGTAAAGATTTAACTACCTTCTCCCCCACCTCCACCATCTTGTCAGCCACTCTTTATTGCTCTGTCCTCTTAATACCATGAAGCTATGATGGCTTCCTCTCAGCTCCTACAACACACCAAACTCACACCTCTGTGCTGTTGCATGTGCTGTTCCCTCTATCTGGAGGGCTCCTCTCCCCACTTGTCTCCTGGCTGGCTACTCCTGCATGTCTCAGGTTTAATCATCACTTAGAAAGGTCCTCCTGGACCACTCTTTCTAAAAAAATAAATCCGCTTTGTTATTCTCTCTCATAGTTACCCTCTTGGTTTCCTGCACAGCATTTATCACCATGTGTTATTATGTACATATCTGAATTGTTTAATATCCGAATCCCTCAGTAGACTTAAGTTCCACGAAGGCATAGCCCAATACCTGTTGCGTTTGCCATCATATACCCAGTGCCTTGCAGAATGCCTGGCACATAGTAGGCACTCAATGAATATTCAATGACTGCATAACACTATGCTTAAATGCCCGCTTAAAACACCCGATGAAGAATCCTCATTTTATTAAAAGTAGGACCAGCTTTAACTACAGACCAGTTAGAGATCCAGGTAAAAGGGAGAACATCTGGACTTCAGGAGTCGTGAACCATTTGGAAGGGTAAGAGGACACATACCCAAGTACAGGCAGGTAAATCTAAAGCTTCAGGATATTTTGAGGGCCAGATATTGTTCTTCATTTAAGGACAAAAGACCAGAGGATGAAGGCAACTGAGAAATTGAAATTAGCTTAGATCTAGAGAATGATCTGGGAGGTCTTATTTAGAAATAAGACTCAGAATCTCTGAGAGTCCCACCACATATTGAATCTATGCCAACCTAAATTTACCTGAAGTTTCTGTGTCCTTGATATCCCCAAGATAGGGTTGGGGCTATACAAAAAAAAGGCTTTTTGGTTTGTTTTGTTTTTAAAGAGAAAGAAAACGGTGTTTCATAAGCTAAGCTGTTCAAACCAACCTGGCTAGTTATTCAAGTCAGTCACTTCTTTGTTTTGGGCTGTTTTATTTCCCCTGTTTTATACTACAGTTTTCTTTAAAATGTTTAAATTCTCTTTTGACTCACATTAGAGGAAGGAGTGTATTTTCCAATCATACTTTAGCCATCATAGGTGAGAAATCCTTTCACTTCTAAGATCAGGTTTACTCTCAATGAAAACAGGCTAGCACAAGTTTATTGACAGGGAAATGAAGAGAAAACTTAGCTGAAATAGGTAAGATTCAGCTATAAACCTTCTTATATAGACAATACCATAAATTATGTTTTCTCAGCACTCTTTGTCCTTCCCTAAAACACCAGTACAATTCCAAATAGCTGTTTGGTCCTTGATGATTAACCAAGTGGATCTAATTCATAAAAAGTATATCACTATTTTTTAATATACTTTGTAGTCTTAAATAAGAATTTCTCAGATAATCATTTTCCCACAGTTTCAGGAGTCTTTCAGTTTTGTTTTCATTACAATATAGCAAAAATAATAAGCAACAGACTTATTGCTAATAATACTTGGCAAAAATGGAAACGTGTCAATACTTTGCTTCTTTCATTAAATCAACACATTTGTTTCACAATATGCTTTGCTGTGACTATTTTCAAAGAAAATACATCTGAGGTTAGATTGCTAGGAATTTTAAATAACACACTTGTATGACAGCATCTTAGAATGGGTAGAAAGTGCCAAACATCGTATTATTATTCTCGTCTGTTACACAGAAACTCCCCCTCCCCTTATTCCCTTCCAATATTAGCACTGTGGAGCCTCACACTCTACGAGGCCTGGGAGTGATTGTTCTGATACAAAGGGCCCTAGCAAGGCTCTGTATAGGAATAATATTGTTAATGTTTTCACAGAGGGGTTATAGAAGGAAAAATTACATAATTGTGAAAGTGTATGTGTATTCTAAAAAACAAGTAAAAAGAAACTTACTCTTTTTCATATTTCTCAAAATTTTCAAGCTCTACAAAAATGAAAAGGAAAATGTTAGTTTTTTCTTGTTTTCCTATGAAATCCAAAATAGTTTAATCAAGTAGAAATATAGACTTCAGTCGAAAGGATTAATTTCCTTAAAAATAGCCATCAAATGCACAAAATTGTTTTTCCATCTTGCTATTTGAATTCAGGTCAAAGTCTCCACTTGATTTTATATTGCTATTTTTTCCCATCCACATAAGAATCACTCTATGTATTTAAAAGTAGTGCTATCAAAATATCAGAGCAAAAAGGAGTTCCTATTTTTCTTCTTTATTAGGAACATTCTGGAAACCACAATGGCTCCGAAGATAGCTGTAATATGCGGCCATTCCCACTCTAGCCAAGAAATTCTGCCAATCATACTCTGAACTAAATTTACTAAGGTCCACTCCATACTGTTACCATGCTACTTCCTTCTCCGTCCATTCAGCAAACCCACTCTGCCTCCTTTATGGTGAAGTCCCTCACTTATCTCTTCCAGGAACCGACCCATATTCCTTCTCTTCTTCACATACCTCCGCATGTATTTTTTTAATCAAAAAGAACAAATTAAATTTTTTAATTTGTTCTTTTTGATATCTTCTTGTTGTTTCTCATACAGGCTTTCTATTCCAATGGATTAACTGTCCTCTTTTCAAGGACAGGTAGAGATCCTTTAGGACATTTCTACTTTCCTAAAACCTAACAGAAGTGTATTTTTCTATATAATAGATAATAAATTCTTTTTGGGGGGAATTTTTTATTTAAATTTTTAAAAATAAATCATTAATTTATAATTCAAAATATTGTAGTCAAAATGCTCTCATCTTTGTTCTCCATCTACCCAGTTTCTGACCCTCCCTCCACAGATAACCATTACGGTTCATTTCTTATGTATCCTTCCAGAGTCACTTATAACATATAATACAAATATTGATCATATTTTCTACCTTTTAAGGAAAAGTTAATAAATTATAAATAAATACACTGAGAGAGTCCTCATTCCTTTTTTACCTATCTAGTATTTCATTACATGCATATACTATGATTTATGACTTATTTAATCAGTTACCCTAATGATGAACAGTCTTGTTTCCAATCAGCTATTCTTTTTTTTTTTAAGATTTTATTTATTTATTTGAGAGAGAGAGAATGAGAGATAGAAAGCACGAGAGGGAAGAGGGTCAGAGGGAGAAGCAGACTCCCTGCTGAGCTGGGAGCCCGATGTGGGACTCGATCCCGGGACTCCAGGATCATGACCCGAGCCGAAGGCAGTCGCTCAACCAACTGAGCCACCCAGGCGCCCTCCAATCAGCTATTCTTATAATCTAATTTCCATCTTGATTCTGGCAGCAGGGGAGAGATGGAGGGTGTGAACACCTTCAAAAATGAAGACTCTGGCATGTTTGTTAAAACTCCCATCTTTTTTACCTTAGTCCTTGTGAAACCTTTTCCAGGAGTCTTCAATGTCTGTTTTGAAGATGTTGAATTTTCCATGGTATTAGGACAACTAGTAGAATAAGTCTCTATAGGCTGAGCCTGCACACCTTTAAAAAAAATGTTTTGTTGCATAGCTTGTTAAGCCTTTGGGATATATATAGTTATATATTCAGTAATTCTTAGCTTGGCTTTTTTATGTATTATTTTTACAATACACTATGGGTTTTTTTAATGTATTATTTTTATCTCGTTTAATCATTCTTTATACCTTTACCATTTAGGTCCTACTTTTTTGTTAATCTTTTAGAAGTCTCATTTTTATAGCTTTTTTGAGAGGAATGTACTGGTCACTTACAATCTTCATCAGCAAGAATGAAGGACTCCAGGGTTCTTTCTGGGAGTGGAGGTGGGGGGGGAGAAGAACGATCTTGATGTACATCTGTGATAAGAGCAGACAACAAAGGAAAACAAAACAAAAATCCATCAATTAAAAGTTAGAAGTCAAAACCCCTTTTTGGTGTTGTATAACTTTTCCAACTGTTCAATATTAACCTACAACAAGCAAATAAAAAGTAATCTGAACAATAACTGCAGCCTCAAGAATTTTTTGTTGTTCTAGCTTTTTAGCCAATCAGTCTATGATGCATCAAAACTTGTGCTCCCTTAGGAAAGTAATTTTCCAAAGAAATTGAACTTGAAATTAATCAAGCTTCTGGTTCTAACTGCCATTTTACATAGAATCCTGGGGATAGTGTAACATGTTAATAAATAAAACCATGAGAATATAAACAACAAAAATCCAGAATATTCAGTCTTTAGGACAAATGACCCATGCTCCTCTACAAATAAATGGCATGAGGAAATATAAAAAGAAGGGAAAACTGTTACAGATTTTAAAAGACTTAACAAATATATAAACCAAATGCAGTGTGTAGACTTTGATTCTAGATGCATATAAACCAACTGTAGGGGCGCCTGGGTGGCTCAGTTGGTTGGGCGACTGCCTTCGGCTCGGGTCATGATCCCAGGGTCCTGGGATTGAGCCCCACATCGGGTTCCCTGCTCGGCGGGAAGCCTGCTTCTCCCTCTCCCACTCCCCCTGCTTGTGTTCCCTCTCTCGCTGTGTGTCTCTCTCTGTCAATTAAATAAATAAATAAATAAAAATCTAAAAAAAAAAAAGAAAGTTCAGCAGACAGTTAAATTTCTTTAAAAAAAAAAAAAACCAACTGTAAAAAGACATTTTTGAGGCAACTTGAGAAAATTGAAAAAATTCTGGATATTAGATCATATTAAGGCATTATTGTTAATTTCATTGGTGTGATAATGTTATTATGGTAGGCTTAAAATGTGTTTGGAATTTTCCATTATATAAAGAATTTTAAATAATAGAGCTATTTTCCCACAATAAAGTCCTAAAGATACAAAGGGTATATGATAATCTCATTATACAGTGCTGAGTATAATTACATACCATATTGTCCTTTGAAACTGAAAATGTGGCTCAGTGCTAGAGTTCCACCTATCTTTGGTCTTTGGGTTCTTTAGGCCTTAGGATTTGTCTCTAAAGCAAGTTCTCTTGTTTCTTTCTTATATACCGGGTGATATGCAAAAGTAAAGTACAACCCTTATTTCCAGCACCTTATATAATACCTGGTATATAGCAGGCACTTAATAAATATTTGATAACTACTCTGAAGTTGCTTATCATCTTCCAGTTTGCTGTTAGAAAATACACCGAGAACTAAAGCTAACTTGCAGTTAATGATATCCTGCCAAATATCTTCCTAAAATACCACTTTCATCTTATTTTTTATTTTTTTATTATGTTATGTTAATCCCT